GGAGCGCAGCATCGGTGTCTGCACAGCTGCTGCCCGCACCCCACCGGCTTGGGCAGCCCGGGCCCCATGGGGACATGCTGTTTGGGGAACACATCCTCTCCGCTGTCACCCCGTCGGGGTCCTCGTCACTTGGAGTGTGGGTGGCCCCACTTCCGCCTCCCTGCTCCCCAGCTGTGGCCAAGGCCAGGGCTGATCTGGGCAGCAGCTGGGAGTTGGGGGTCCAGTTTGGGGCACAAGCAGCACCGCTGGGTGGGATGGGGTGGGTTATCCCTGCAGGCTCTGTGCTCACTGCCCCAGCCCCTGGCTCCCAGCCCTCCCTCAGCTGCTTCTGGCTCGCCCAGGTGAGCGCGCAGTCTTGCCGCCCAGGCCAGCACAGGGGTCTGCAGCTGGGGGGTCCAGCCAGGCCAGGGGTGCTCAGGGCTGGACTAGAGGGTCGCACGTGAAGTGCCGGTGTCAGGCCGGGTCCGGACCTGACATGGGAGGCAGGGCTGGGACGGGGGTAGGTGGTCCCCTGGGTATTGCTGCAAGCCAGGGTCAGGGTCCCTGGTTGGGGGAGGCAGCCGTGGGCTGGACAGGACTGGCTGTGGGCGATGGCCAGGCTGACCACGGGGCCTGGGCATGGCAGGGCCCCAAGCCAGCCCCTACACCATGGTGGGGAGGGAGTTGGGGGGAGACCTGCGGAGTGGATGCATGTTGGACCAGTGCATGCTGGGAGCTGGGGCCAAGGTCACCCTCGCTCTGACTTCCCCACCCTGTTCCCCCCAGGTCCCTAAGCGGGCAATGCGTGGGGCAGAAGAGGTGCATTGTGGGAAACGCACCCAGCACTCCTTCCGTGGGTCCCTGCGTGCCCAGCCCCAGGCAATAAACGTTTGCAGACTTGGTACCCCAGCGGCGCCTGGCGTGTCCCCAGGAGGGTGGCTTTTGTGACAGTTATGGAAACTAGAGGCTTTATTGGGGCAGGGGGCTGGCTCTGGTCCGTGGCGGCTCAGACATTGAAGCCCAGGGACTCGTGCTCCCGTGCGGAGAAGGACTGGCTGCGGATGCGCGAGGCCACCTCCTGCGTGCGGAACGTCAGCCCAAAGATGTCCTCGTGGTAGCGGTTCTGGTCCTGTGGGGATGTGCTGTCAGGGACCCCCGCCACTGCCAGGGCCCTGCCCCCCCAGTCTGGCTGGTGCCCCTCACTCCCGACCTGCAGCCCCTGCCCCCCTCCTCTGCCCCTGGAGCGCAGCCGCCCGCGTCCGCAGCTCGCTGATCATGTCTCCGGCCTCGATCAGCGTCATGCCGGCCTCCTGGGCCAGGATCTGCTGCACGGTCTGCAGCACGCCGGTCGCCATGGTGACGTCCCCACACACGTACACGTGCCCGCCGCTCTGGCACAGCACCCGGTGCACCTCGCCTGCCAGCTGTGTGCGCAG